CATTGTCGTTATGTGTTTGTTGTTCGACTTGGTTTGTCGAGCTTTGCTGATGTGGCAGGATGTCGTGAGCTTCCTCATCCACATTGGCCCTGGCCCAGGCTTGTAAACTTTCACCATTTGATTTAGGGTATTCATTTCCTCTTGTGTATGAAAGAGCTTGGAAGTTGGTTTCAGCAAGAGCGCAAGACTTAAGACAGTTGGTTGTCAATTTCTTTTGAATCGACATGTGTGTTTTTCAAAAACTGCGTGTCCTGCGGTGTGGGGCTCTCAAGCACGGTGCACTCTATAGTTTGGCTTCACAGCGATGCCAGTGACGTCTCAAATCACGGCCTTATCGGATTCAGAACCATCGTCGCCTCAAACTTAGACAGTTCAAAGCTGACAAAAGATTTGAAGCCGGTCTCATGTTATATTTTGTAGGTAGTTGTTAGTTAGGCAGTCGGTTCTGTTCTTCGCATTGCCGTTCCCAGGCCGGAAAACACCGTGGCAATCAGCGCAAGGGCGGTTGGTCAAGGCGCAGCGATCATGAAGCTTGGGAAACATTTGACGTGGAAACCAGATGTGGTGAATTGGCCATCTGCTGCTAGTGTGCTTGGCAAGCATCGGTTGATAGCACTCATGCCTGCACTGCGCAAAGCCAAGAAGCTCGACCTGGAGGCGCCAGCAAGTGTTTCAAATTGTTTTGGGACCCCTGTGGACAGCACGAAGATATGGAAGAGAGAGAAACACAGACAGAGAGAGAGAGATACAGTGAGAGAATCAGAGAGAGAGAGAGAGAGGTTGGTGAAGTTCTGAGAAGACTTATCGTTATCAGGAAAAGTTGAAAAATGATCCTTAAAAACAACTCTGACTCTGCAGGTCTACAAGAGGCCTTGCAAGGCTTCCAAGAACAACAAGAAGAAGGTGAAGTCGGGTATGTTCAAAGGCCGCCGCCGTTTTTCGGCTTGGAGCAGCATACGCGTGGCCCTTATTAAGTGTTTGCGTCGTTGCGGCGCGCTTCTGTTCGCGCTTTGAGGTTGTTATTCTGCGACGACCCGGGCCTCGGAAAACCCTTCCAACAGGGGCATTGCTGCCAGGGCCTCCTTCGTTGTCGCAATAGAAAGATTTTTTACTAGCCCTATCATTGTTTCTCAGGATTTGGCGAACCAGATTGCTTGGTCCACCAAATACAAGAAGGAGTGTCGTGATGCAGGGGTGGAAGGGGGGACCTACCTCACACCTTCTGCGGGAGAGTTTCTCTCTGGCCTTCCTCTGAACTGGACAAGCGTGGAGAAGAAGGTAGATGAGACGGTTTTTGATGCTATGTTTCCTTTTGCGCGCAAGAAGGCCAGAAACGTTCCAGGGCCAGTCTGTTGCATGTCCCACTAAAAACAGTTACAGCTGAATCTGCCAGGCTGGCAAGATTCCAGTGGTGTCCCTCTTCAGTGGATGTGGAGCTCTCGACCTGGGCTTGTCGAAGCCAGGGGCTTGAAGAGTGATGCAATCCCAGGAGTTTGCTGAGGTTCTTGCAGTTCTTCAAGTCAGCGTGTTGCATGTGCAGCGCACCGTTGCTCATTACCAAGAAACAAACACAACAATTAATTGCCAATTACAGTACTGTGTTTATGTTTGAGTAGAAACCAGAGGAAAGGAAAACGATATGGCTTGAAATTCACGTAGTAGCTGCGTAGCACAGCCGCAGCCATGCAAACGCAGTTGCAACAGAGACAGGGCTGGGCTCACTCATTTGTCAAGTTGTTATCACCTGACTGCTTCAAATGTTTCTTTGCGCGCCCGATCCTCTCCAGGAAGTTTGCCAAGCCGCTCCAAGCCATAATGTGCGTGTGGTGGGAGTGAATCAGATCAAGTTTTTTGCTTGCATTAACGATGGATGTACTTGGATGGTTTATTTCCTTTTTCATTATTCATATTTTGTGTTTGCCACCTTTGCTGCCAAGGGTGCCGTTCGGAACGAAGATCACCACAAACTGGCGAGGACGCGCGCCAGGGACTGGGTACATTCCTAGCTCTTCAGCGCTTCCTCCCAGGATGGGCTTTGGAATCATTCCTTTGATTTCTTGAGGTGGTTCTGGTCATGGCAATGCAACGAGTGGTTGGAAGTGCCTCCCACATCACCACAGCAAGACCAGGAGTGTTTCAATTTCTTGTCCTGGTAATGACTGCTTGTTCGGCCCAGTACTTTGATTTTGTTTGGGGGCCAGAACAAACCAGGACAAACCGATGGCATCAGCTGTGGGCTGATCTCCTTGAAGGCTTTCAATGCGATGAAAAATGGGCGGTATGTTTTGAGAACTTTGTGTCCTTCAGAGTATTCACAATGATTTGTTTATTCTGCTGCCGTTTCGCCAGTCACTTGTCCTGCCAACTCCCAAGGCATTTGTACCCAACCGATTACGCACTGCCCTTGGGTGTTGGTAGCAGCGGCTCTCAGGTTATAATTTGGTTTGCCTAAATCTGAGGTGGAGATTTGCCCTTATGCTCGCCACGTCCTGTCAACCAGGATGGCAGAGGGTTTGCTGCACAAAGCCCCGATCCATGAGGACGTCAAGCAGTTCAAACCTTCTCCGCACGCCCTTGCTCAAGGGTGTGGAGGAGGGTTCCCATGTCAGGCCTACTTTTAGTTTTCTGCTGGGCACTGCCAATTTGATTTGCGATTCCTGCCAGGGAATATCATGTGGAGGCCAACAAGGGGGACTGAATGACGCCAGGTCCAGTCTTTTGGTGAACTGCTTCAAAGTGTTTGATGCCTTGCCGAAGCAGAACCAGTCCGATCCTCATTGCAGTGTTTTGTGTTCAAGGCGTTGCAGTGTGCACCAGGCCGCTTTAAAAGTCTAGAATCTAGGAGGGGGTGTTTGCGAGGAAGCTCCTTTTCCTCGAGAATGTCAAATCCATTTTGTCCAAGCAAGCGGACATGCAGAATGTCATGAAGTTCATCATCCAGGCAACTTGCTCGTTGAATGTACCCACCCTGAAATTGAATTTGTGAAGGAGTGCCAGAAGCGATCCTTGGAGCTTTATTGGTGCAGCGTCTCCATGGAGAATGTTGGCTTCCCAGCCCGCACCTGAGCTTGCTACCAAGATTTTGTTGAATCCTACAAAAAGTGAGAGCCAGGCAATGCGAAAGAGGGTATTCTTTTGGGCCTTCCCCTATGGATCGGAGCTCTTCAAGGACTGGTTGCAAAGAATTCTTAAACAATGTCTGAGCGCTCGACAATTGAAAATGTGCCATGGATTGAGAATGGTCAGACAATTGGGTCATTGTCAACCTGGGAGTTCTGCTTTGTTCGCAGTTTTCCACCTGAGAAACATGCCAAGAGTTATGGAAGTAAGGCTTTGGGGATTTGGTGCGACAGGACTTCAAGCTGGAGCCGCTGGACTCTTTGTTCCAATCGGAGTGGAATCATCTGAACCATGTTCCCATGTACAAATGGTTGGGTGCTGAGAGGGAATGTGACCACTATGAGGATAGAATGAAACTTCTAGGCAATTTGGTGGTCCCACCATGTGCTTTGTTGGGAGCCAACATGCTGCACGCCGCATCTCTGCGTTCATAGCCGAATAGCCAGACCTTAGCCTTAGTTGGTTGTTAGATTTGACACTACGTATACTACTCCTTGTGGCAGCAGCTTCTTTCTTGGTGATCTCTTGTTTGTGCTAAATAGAATTCAAAGCTGCGCAGAGATGGCCTTTGTTGCGCCTTCGAGTATGCGCGGGGCTGAAATTCATTGAGCTTTCACATTCACTCCTTAGCCCTGGAGTCGTTGTGTGCTAAAACCTTCGCTTGGCCTCACCTGTTGGTTTTTTCTTGAGTGTCTTGAGTGGAGAGTTTTTTCTTGCTGTTGCAGCTGCCAGATTATAGTTTCGCAGTTCATTCATTGATCATCATGTTCGCTGTTGGGACTGCTAGCTATTATTCTGCGGCCCATTCAACGATTGTCAATGTTGCTGTTACAACTGCTAGATTGTGTCTTAGCAGCTCATGGAGAATTTTTGTGGAGAAGCGTTGGTAAGAGGTATCATGAAAAACTAGAGGCAATATTATAATGCATGACTTCGGACCCTGCGTGAACGATGGAGCCGCACATTGCACCTGTGACGAAATTGTCACCCAGTTCTGGTTCTGAAGAACCGGCTGAACCCAATGTCAGGGAGCGTGGGAGAGGGCGCGGCAGGGGACGCAGCAAAAGAAAAGCTGCTTCACAGAAAAAGAAAGAGCCTGATGACATCGTTCAGATACAGGCCATGCTAGGCAAGAAGTGCTCTTGCAAGCCCTGTTGTCGAGATGTATTTCGATCCAGGGATGGAGTGCAAAAGGTACTGAAATTTAGATCTGAATGGAAAGCGCTGCACAAACTGGATCAAGACGAGGTTGTCCCTCGGTTTGAACTTGCTTCTATGTTGTTGTCGCGCGACGCGCTTCTTATTCTGTCATTCCTTGAGCCTGCACTTGCTGCCTCCACGTTTCTGCTGCGAGGCTTACGGAACTAGTCAGAGCACTTTGCGGGAGTCCGCAGATTCTCAGCAGAGAACGCAGTGGCGCTTTCTGGGCCATGATGTTTGTGTGAAATGTTTCAAATCATTGCATGGACTTGGCCACTTGGATTGCAAGCCTTTGTCCTGTTGAAAAAGTCATTGCTCACTGCAGCAGCAGTTGAAACCTTATCATGTGCTTTGTGCATTGTTATTGGTGCAACCCTTGGGGCATTGCGCGTCAAACACCAAGTACTTGCATAGGCAATGGCCGCTTCGCCCGCTTGGTGGAAGCGGCCCAGCAGCAGAAGCCGAAACCACCAGTTGATCTACGGTACCTCAAGAAGGAGCAGGGTCATGCTGTGGAGGTTGTTCACCTTCCAGGTGTTCTTAGCTTCTTGGAAAGTGTGTATACGAGCATCGCGGAAACTCTTCCAGATGTCAGGGATGTTCTCAGCGGCGCAAAGCCTGATGAGGATGACCCTTACTGCCAGGCCTTCGATGACCAGAGTTCGGTCCCCAAAAAGCGTATGAGGCGTGGGGTCATGATAGCGGAAGGAAGAACAGTTCAAGACGGTTGCCAAGAGAAGTGGCTACCATGCGGTACCATGAAAGAGTACTGGGTGCAGTATAAGCAGCAAAGCTCAGACAACGCGGCAAGTTTTCCTACGTTTTGGAGAGCCTGGGCCAGTCACTACAGTTTCATGCGCTTTAGAGGGGCATCTTCCCACGCTCAGTGCATCTTGGTTTGCACATGGCTGGCGAAGTGTGAAATTTTAGTGTAACACGGATGTTGGAATCTCTCAAGCAAAGCAAAGTTCTTTCTGTCGCAAGGCTCAGAATGCTTAAAGCATAAGAGCCTCATAGCGGGGCTCGGGCACCATTTGAACGCACGCCGCATGCAGCAAAGATTATACTACCAGCATCTCTCTGCACAATTCCAGGATAGAGCCACATACTGGCGGGAGCGAGGACAGGCCCGGTCCAAAGGACTAGACATCCTTTGGATTCAGGACGGCGTGGACCAAAACAAAATGCTTCTGCCACGCAGCAAGCTGATGAAAGCAAAATGCTTTGAAAGCATGCAGCGACCAAAGCTTGCTTTGACTGCAGTGATCTGCCACGGCCATCACATCGGCCTGTACATCAGTGAGATGACGGTCCCGAAGGATTCCAACAGCTCCTTTGAATTGATAGCGAAGACTCTGCAGCACTTACACGATGAAGGGGTGCACCTGCCATCTTGCCGGATTACATGTCAAGCCGACAACACCTCACGCGAGGTCAAGAATGGGATAGTTGCTCGTGGACTAGCTGCCATGGTCAGCGACAACCTGGTCGCAGAAGCTCGTATGAGCTTCTTGCGGACAGGTCACTCGCACGAGGACGTTGATCAACTATTCTCACAGGTGTCTGATTGGCTGAACCGTCACCTACGCCATGCTGAGAATACCGAGGATGTCATGGACTGTTTGAGACAGTTTTTGGACCATCTTGATCGCCCATTCGAGCCCCGCCGCTTCCTGCACAAAGTGGATGTGACCCGAAACTGGTTGCTCAGACAAATTGAATTGGCATTTCGTGGCCAAAGATAATCTTGCATCTCCCCACCTTAGCTTCAAAGGTTCCGTTTTGGCTCTAAAGCAATGTTGGAAGAAGAACGAGCGAAAGGTGTCAGAAGGACTCTTAATGTCCTGTCAACCTCTCTTTGTGATGTTTGGGAGAACCCAGGCGTGGTTGGTTGGCGGAGCCGATCCCAGTGAGTCTGAAGGGAATTGGCGGCCCTGGAGCGCCACATGTGTTGCATTTTCTCCGGCGCATCCATTCAGGCAGGCCTTTTCATTCGAGATCCATATCTTAGCAAGTTGCAAACCAAGAAGGGCCAAGGGTCAAAAGGCCTTTTAGGATATGTCCTCCAAAGGTGGTTAGGAGGACGTATCCTTATAAGGCCCTTTGACCTCTGAATGTTGAGAAAACGGGGTTGGCCGAGGACATGTTGAATACACAGAAGCAACATATATAGAAACTGTTTTTAGGTCCTTTTCACGGGCTCAACGGATGATAAGAGAATGGAGCCCTGCCCCTGCCCAATGCAGGCCTTCAGAACGAAGAGATCAAGAACTACTATTGGCGTTGCGACGAACATCCCCACGATGTCATCCTTAGGCCTAACATTTTTCCCCGCGAATGATGTGAGAAGGCGTCAAGCGTTCCTAGTTGCTTGTCATTTGTGATGTACTTTGCTGTCAGGACGAAACAGTGGATGCACGAGGAGCAGTATTCCCACAACTTCTTGTTCTTGCCGCGCACTTGGGCTTTGCAACACCTTCCAGTCGGCCTTCCGGCAGTCCTTCCCTTTTGAAGCGAGCCGGGAGTCAGAAGCAAAGAGCACTTTCTTCGCACAAGCCTTTTTCATTCTCAGTGAAAGTTCATGAAATCTTTTTCTGCCAGTCACAGCTCCGCTGAATGATCTGGGTGCGAATTATGTGGAGCACATCAGAAAGTACCTCCCGTTGTTGCGATTGAGCGAGTTTGGTTTGAGTAAAGCAGCAGACTACTTGGATGCATTCGTTTCCAACACCTTGGTTCGCAGCCCGCCTATGGATGTTTCGCAGAGCCTTGTTTTAAAGCAATTCAATTCGATTACTATTCTGCACAGCTGTGTGTTTGATGTGAAACAAGCCAGTGATGATGACGTTGAATGGGTGTCCTTGTTTGAAGGATCCGGTTGAGACGGAGTGTGCCTGAAAGATTCGCGGAGGAGTCAGCTTCGAGGTGCGCGCGAAAGAAGTCAAAAGAGAAATAAAGTCAAAGTTTTCTGGTTTGAACCAGGCAGTCGCACAAAGGGTTGAGTAACTTTGATGTGTTTGAAGCATAGTGGAAACTACGTGTTGCACTTAGAGTCGCTGTTGTTGTTGGGAATGTTCCTGGCCTTGGCAATGAGTTATCCTACAGTCAATCTTTTGCTGATGCTTTGCAGGGCCCGATCCTTCGATGTCCAGCCAAACCGCTTGTCGCCGCAGCCTCATCGCTATTTAGCTATTACTGCTGCGTTCTTGAAGAACGTTGAACATTGGAAAAATTGTTTAGTCCACTGTAGCCAGGTGAGTCAGGAGTGTTTTTTTGTTTTAGGGAGTTGACTTGCTACAGAATTCGCAATGGTTCAGAGGCTGATGCGGCCGGATGGCTACCGGAAGGAAGCTCGCGAGTATCACAACAGAAGCGTTTTGCAAGCTGCTTCTCGAATCTGGGTAGAAGGTGTTCCATGGGATGAGGCCATGGATATCTCCCGCAAAGCCCTGGAGCGTGCTCTTCCCAAAGGGAAGGGCAAAGGAAAGGGTAAAGCCCGAGCAAAGGGCAAGCGCTAGACAGATCCAGAGACCCGTCGAGTAACGTAGCCAGAACTGAGAGATTCTTGGGGAAGTTCTTATTGAACATATTAAGTTTCTGAGGTGTTCTAAACGCAGTTGGATGATGCTTGTGGTGCCGGTTGGGCTCTGAGGCGGGTTCCTAAAAAGAAAAAGGGGTGCGGCATTGCATGTACACATCCCAAGGCTATGTGTTTGTCAAGCTTGGCTTTTGTTACCACCACTTTTTAATCAGACTCTTATTCAATGTGTTTGCAAGCAGCCCAGAAAGCCACGGATCCTACCTCAGATCAGTGCCTCCCACCATCGTTTCCAGAAGTTGGCACACTGGCAAAAATTCCACGGTTATGGAAAAAAACCGGACCATAGCACTTAGCCACGGATCTCACCTAGGATTGGTGTCTTGGGTCTCTGTGGGACAAATGCCGCTTAAGCCACGAATTGGGATTGGTGGCTTCCAGACTTTCACACTTAGACCTGCAAGGTTTTTTAAGGTGTTCACAAATGCTGTTCTATTTCCAGTCAACATGTGTATATTATATATATGTATATTAATATAATAGGTGTATATGTAATTGCGCAGGCTGGATTCAAGCGGAGCCCGATCCCAGTTGCAATCCCTCGCCGCTGAGAAAATGTTCAACTTTGTGTCGGATTCCGGGAGCGTCGCAAGTGTCGGATTTTTGAAGTGTCGGATCTTACCTTGGATCAGACGCTTCGTACAGTTGGTGGCCAAGGTAAGTTAGGGTTACCCAATTTACGAAGCAATGGTTCAAGCTTCAAGTGTCGGATTTTGAGGAACCACCAAGTGTCGGATTTTGTGGAAGCACCAAGTGTCGGATTTGGGAGTCTGCCAATTTTTATATTTGGAAAACCCACTTACTGGGAGCTCAAGTCAAGTGCTGATCGTAATTCTTCCTGTGCTTGAGGCATTCAGCAACTTGCAGAGTTGGGGCTCTAAGTAGAAACCAGGGCCGAATCATGCTGAAGCGGAAATCTATCGACAAGGCTGACAAGAAGGCCAAAGCCAAGGCCCTCAAGGGTCCTGACGCAGATTTGAGCAAGGACGACAACCCAGCAGCTGAGTATTTTTACATTGGCAAGATCACTTCTTGGTAGCTCGCTACCATTTTTTGAGCTCACCAGTTATGTCGGATTTCATCCAAACAGTTGTAGTTTGCAACGACCTACTATTATGTTGTCATCCTCTTAGATGGGCTCAGGTTTCGATCCACCGTTTTGCCCAGTGGTGGTGTTGATGGCTATCTGGATAAAGCGTATGCCACTGAGGAGACCCATTTTTCTTGGTGCCCAGGAGGGTAGGTTGGTGTCCTGCAGGATGCGAAGCTCAAGTTTGCCGAGTGGATTGACAAGTTTTGCCCACCAGATGGTTCGAGCCAACCTTAGTTTCTATGCCTGTGTTTGGCTATAGGTAGTTTTAGACCGAATCAGGAGATGCTATTTGACCGACAAGACTATGGGTGGAGTCATCAGACCATGGCAGTTGGGGTGGCGCTCAGACTTTGGGATCAGCGGAATGATCGATCCAGAGGTGGGTGAGAATCTCATTGAGCTCATCTGTCAAGAAGGGATTCTCAGCCAAGATTTTGGATGATACCCATAGCTTTTGTTCAGCGTTATTGTCTAACGCTGCCAGAATCTGCACTGCAAAGGTTCTTGACAGACCCAACACTGGTGGGAGTTGAGCAAATCGCAGCCACTGATGTGCCTTCCGAGTTTTTAGAGAAGCCATACACAGAATGCCGCGCTCTGGACCCATACAGCCATGGACTCAGTCAGGTTAAAGCACGGATTCTATGACCAACCAAGACAAGTTGAGAGGTCACAAAGGGCGCGCATAAGCTTTCTTACGCGCGCCCTTTGTGGCCTCTCAACCTTTGTTGAAATGTTAATTGTCCAGAAATATGATGATAGATTTGCTAGGCGATCTCTTGCGGCCATTCTCTGTCGCATACATCAAGGGCTACAAACGTGCTTCTATGCTTCTAGTTACCCTTCAGGGGATCTTGGAACTGAAGCTAGAGGATCACATTCCCAGCCGAGTGCGCGTTTCTTGAACTCAAGATCCGCTTTTCAAACAAAAACTGCATTTGGACAGTTCTTGATTACAACGTGAAGGGGTTTAGGCTTAGTGGCCACGTGGTGAGGCGACCATGGGCACGATCTTTTGCCAATTCGGCGCTTTCAAAGATGTTCGGGCCCAAGTGATGGCCAACCGAGGACTGCCTTGGCACGCAGAGATTATCAATCTCTTGGATGACTCTACAAACATGTTGTGTAAATTGAAAGCCGACTTAGTGATTTTGATTCATTCCAAGCCAGGTCAAGAGGACACAAAAAAATAGGGCCAAGCGTAATTGTACCTGCACCTTTTTTTGGTGTCCTCTTGACCTCTCTTGGCTTGTCAGGAGTACAAATGGCCTCAGCTGCAACAAAGCGGCAAGTTCACGCGTTTAACTTGCTGCGTCAAATCCGCATCCTCCAGAATGCTGGCGCAAAATCAGTTTCCAATCAGTTGAAGGACCTTGAAAACCAACGTCTCAGATGCAAACCAATGTGTTTTGACTTAGGTTGATTAGATAAGTTTTTTGTGTGTTTGAAGTCCAGGACTGGGAGAGCGCAGCCGGGATAGCAAAGGCTTTTGCCATCGGACGGGCAGAATCATCCGCTGTGCTTGCCCTGTTATCCAACGTTCCAGGACATGTTTGCAGCAAGCTCAACGAGATCGTGAAGATCAGAGGTATGACACGCTTTCTGACACACGACGTGATCGGAAAGGGAACTTTCTCGATTGGATGGACTTCAGGGGTTCTTGCTTGTGAAGGATGGAGCGATCAGTTGACGAACAGTGCGCGTGATCATACATTGGTCACCCGCATGTGCATTCAGGAATTCAGGAAAGTTTTTTTTTCAGCTCCTTTGGCTTTGTGGTGTCGCCCCTTTTGCTGGTTTCTTTCAACCTGTTTGTGAGAGAATCCATAGGTTGACCTCTACTTGGAGCGTTTGGTGTCAGACCACGATAGCGTGCCCGAGCAATTGCGGCGCGCCTGGAGCTACAAGGATGCTGTGAAATTGCACCAGGCCACAGGAGCGTTCTTGTGGTGCCTGGACCAGCTGCAAAAGATCGCTCCTGCCAGCCAGTTTGACGACATGAAAAAGTCCTTGCGGCAAAGCTTTTTTGCAAAGTTCTTGGATTTGGATTTGATCCACATGCTGGAAGAGAAGCTACCTGCCACAGCTGATATCAAAATGGTTTGTCCTTTCAGGAGAGCTTGGCGCGACAAAGTGTTTTTTAACACGGCACTTGGATTTGCAAGTACTTGAGTTCAATTGTCCCATCTGAGCCATTCGTATACCAGGAGCTTTGCAGAGAAGATCTCGCAGGGACGCATGGAGGAAAAGGAGGAGAAAGCCATGCTGGCGAAGAAGGAGCTGGCCCGTGCAACGTACCAGCACGTTCTAGCGATGCTCGAGAGTGACGTGAAGATCCTCGAAGAGCAATTGCCAGGACCTGTGGAGGCCGCCGCAGAGACGGCTTTAGATATGAAATACATTCGAGACCGCCAGCAAAAGGGCAAGGCCTATGTGGCAGATTTTTGCTCAAAGAACTTCATCCTGGAGGCTGTGAATGAGGACTTGGATGCAGCTCTCCCCAAGTTCTTGTCTCTTCTGGATTCCATGCGCGGCATTGCTGGAAAGATGCAACTTGACAAATACATTTGGCAGGATTCAAGTCTTGTATAAGCCTATATCATATGTATGTAAGCTGTTCTTTGGCCGTTGCGGCCACGGTCTATAAAGTCTTCAGGTACGTAGTTTGCTCCTTGGACTTCATTGTCTACCCAGCCGCTGCGACGTATGTGCGGAAAGCCTTTGAGTGCCTTGCAAACGTCGCTGCCATGTCCAGCTCGCACATTGGATTCATCTTCATGCCAGTTCACCAGAAGCAGACAACTGAACCGGCAGTGCTCAAGCACCGTCGTCAGATTGAGGAGAACCTGATGAAAAGCAAAATGAGCTTGGCCAATGAGGTTTGCATTCTTTTTGCAAAGCCTGAGGCCCGCGTGACTGATGGGCGTGCTATGACGCAGATTTCTCTCCTCTCCCTGCGCCAGAACTATACATCCAATTCTGATTGGAACAGCTCCAGCGCAGTCACCACAGCTCGCATCGGACCGGCGCCTCTCATTCGCATCAGCGACATGCTTGGGTTCGACGAGGTGAGCAAACCCTCTGCCAGCGCCCGTGTTGAACAGATTCTAGACCTGTCTAGACCAGTGTTTCAGCTGTTTGCAATCCTTGCGCCTTCGATTTTCCTGGCATGCTTGTTTCTGCTGGCCGCAGCCCAGGAAGGGAGTGGACTGCTTCAAATCAATTCTGGAAGGTTTGATGAAGGGGATGGAGATTAAGGAGGCTGACCGGCTTGTGGTTCTCGACATCGTTCCCAACAGGCGCCTGCTGAGTGTGTGTGTGTGTGTGTTGACTCTTTTTTGTTGCCTCAGGCCTCTGTGTGTTCAAGGCTGCTGCGCCACATGTGTAGGGTTCTAAAGTATTTCTCAGTGTGCAGGCAATGTGAGATGGGGCGCGCAGTTCTACAGAAAGTTTTGGACGGCGAGAATATCAAGTACATGGGGTTCTTGAGAGAGGACGTGGAGAAAGATTTGCGGTCGGCCATGGAATCAGTAGTGTACCAACACTGGGATTCCTCAGCAGATGCACCCCCGAAGCAAAGGCCGCAGGAGAGCAAGGAGAAACAGGATTTGAAGCTGGAGATTTTGGCGATGAAGGATGGTAGCCCGGTCTTCCCCGAGCAGGTTCTCATGGATCGGTTTACTGCTGGCAGTGAGTATCACAAGGAGGTTCAGAAAATGAAGGCAAAGTTTGAGGAGAAGCATGGGAGAGTTGGTGCTTCAACTGGGACCAGTGCGACCACAACAACGAGCCAGGAAGGCCGTGTAAGCGGAGTGTGCGACTTCACCATTGATGAGGGGCTTTCTCCGTTGGATACATCCCGTGAAGTCTCCTTGCCTGTCAAGACGATCGATCAGCTTGGAGAACCTTCTTCCAGGCCCGAGTGCAAACTTCTTACCGTTGCGACTTCAGAGCTTGGCCTAGTGATGTTTCTAGCCAAGGGTGTTGCCCTTTGACTTGCCACTGTTTGCATCTTTTCTTTTGTTGTTTTGGGTGCAGTTTCTTTCAGCGCAGGATTGGCACGTTGGTTGGGAAAGCTGGAAAGCCAACCGTGGTTCTGGACAAGGACTTTGGGTTGTGGCTTTTGAACCCCGGTGACGCAAAGATCAAGGTGCCATGCAGTGAGCTTTGTGGCTTCGGCACGGGCGCCTACAAAAACGGAGTGGTCAGTGACTGGCTATCATTAGTTCAACGTGTATCTGAATGGATGTATCACATGTCTTTAACTTTTCGCAGGGCCGATTGAGCTGACTTTCTGTCACCTGATGTCTTAGGTGATGTGATGCAGCCAAACGGTCTTGTGTGGAGATTGGCAAACGATCGACACCAAGTCGTTTTCGACAAGGAGTGCATGCTGCTGTGTGTGGTACTTCGCAAGCTGGCGGTGGAGCAGGGGCTGGCGGATGTCGACTTAGAGTTTCATACGTTGGTCCCAAAGACGCACCCGGTGACAGAGGCCAGGTGCTTGCTGTAGCTGTAGCTCTTAGAGTTGCAAGCGTTGTTCGTTCCAAGATCTTGACGAAAAACGCTGACAAGGCCAGCCCAGATCCACTTCCAGTGAGTTTCAGGCGCTCTTGTTATAATTTTCTGTACTATACTGTGGTGTTGCTCTGTGACATTGACATTTCTCGCAGGTGGGATGTGGCCCCATTGACTTCTCAGAGAACTTGCACCTATCACCCAAACGCGAGCGACTTGAGCAGCGATACCCTCACCAAAAGGGTGTCTTTTGGAGGCGTGTACACCGGGAATTACCACAAGGTTCCTTTCAATGATGTGGTGTCTGTGCTTTGGGAAGCCATGAACTTAGTGGGTCGCATCGACTTGCCATCAACAATGAATGTGATTTCAAAATCAACAAATGCGGTTGAGGTTGAGAGCTCATCTTCGCCGGCCAAGATCTTGCCTTTGAAGCCTAAATTGTGGCTTCTGGCCTCTGTAGTGATTGAGCCAGGAACTGCTGTGCAATTGGCATGAGAGGCCCCAAACTTTTCTTCAACGTGACGCTTCTTGAACAGTATATGTATTTGTGACTACTATGTCACTATGTCATTCTGTGTGCCAGTGTAATTGTTTTCCATGCAGAAAGAAAGGCTCACCGGACCGAGCTGCGCTTGAACAATGCATTCATTGTTCGCAGCGAATTTTGAGTGGATTTAGACCAGACCGGTTTTACGAAAGACTCCAAAGGCCGGCAGTTCAAAGTTGCTGTGGTATAACCTCCCTCCGATCGATCATCAAAGTTGCTTCACACAGTAACGTTTTGATATGTGGATGAATGCGCCGGTTTAAGGATTGGCCCAGACACATATACAATACACACGCCGTGCAATAGTTTGTAGCACGGTCTTGAGTGTCTCTAAATGCCGGTGCTGACCCGCATCGACGAACTGTCGCAGAGCTCACAGGACCCCCTGTCACTCGTTGTCAATTCATTCATGTTTGCTTTTTGTATGCAGTTTGGGCAATCCTTCAAATGTGTTGGGTTCCAGGAGGAGCCACCTGCGCAGACTGCCAAGAAGCCTAAGCTTGCTCCCAAGCCCAAAAGCACTAGCAAACCCAAGGCTGCTCCAAAACCGAAACTTGCTTTACCCAAGAAGAAACCAAGCCAAGCAGAAGAAACACCAGAACCAGCAGTACCGCAAGCGTCGGAAGCACCAGACACAGAAGAACGGGAATCTGAAGAATTGCCCGTTGTACTAAAGAAGCCTGCTGCTGCAAACGTTGCAGCTTCCCAAACTCCCAAGAAAAGGCCAGCTGCAGCAGCAGGCCGATTGTTTACTTGATTGAAAGCAACTGTAGTTTTGTCCCATTGCCGTGCCAGGCGCAGATTGTGATGATGACAGCGAAGTGCATGTCCCCAAACCATGTTACTACAAGGCCAACAACACGTGTGGAATCAAAATGGGAAAGGGCAAGGAGAAAAAGCAGGTGTTCAGTGCAACTTGTCACAACTCCCTGAAAACATGTCGCAAACCTTGTCGCACAGTATGTCCGTGGTTTGAAAGCAACGCCAAGGTAGGCGGCCCCCTGTACCCCTATGAGAAGATTGAGGAAATCGCAGAACCTTAGTTTATCATGGATGTTTTACAAACATTGCACAAATCTAACCAATCAGCCAGCCCAGGAAGAAGCTGCAAAAAGACTCCGTTCAGGTGAGACTGTCCAGAATGTCAAGGCTATGGTTGCACCTTGATCGCGCAAACCGAAAGCAAGCTGAGAAAAACACATTTCAGAAGTTGTTTGAAGCAATCAAATCTGGCGCTTCATGTCCCACTTTCTCGATGTGCGACGTTTTTTCCCGGTGTGTAAAACATATCTTCATCATCGCTAAGTCCGAGATGCAGATTGCCTTGCTTGACAGCATGCAAAGCGCTCCTTCTGATGCCGCTGCCGGACCAGCGGCTGAGTCTCACGCCGACGCCGATGCGAATGATGAAGGCGGTGAGGAGGAGGAAATCAACCCTGATGAAGTGGTGCCGCCAGAAGATGTAGAGTAGAGATCTAATTTTCGATATGATGGCCCCATTAATTATGATGGAGAGCATCGATCTGATGATGTGGCTGGAAAAGACGCTGCAAGGTGATGGCAAACATTTTTGTATAGAAAGACATTGTGTTACAAACAAGATTGGAGCACACAACGCTACATGATTTTGCGCATCAAACCATGGTCTCCGAAGATTTGCCGTTCGAAGGCGTACAGCTGGGTAGGGTCTGACCAACCTGCAGGCGTTGTGGGTTTTCATGTTGTGAATGGCAAGCTCAACAAAGAAGTTCTTTCCCTGAGTCTGACTGTAGTCTGATGTGGTTGGGCCACGATTTCGAAAGCCGTTCCAATCCTGGCCACGAAAGTTCTGTGCCAAGTTTTAGGAAACATGTTGTATGTTTCGCAGGATGTTCAACTTCGGTCTCCATCTGAGAAACGTTGGAGCCTGGCACTGCTGCTCAGTTGTGCTGTTTTGTAATCTTTAAGGGTCGCGCAAAGAGTATTATTGTGTGCTGCCCGCAGGCGTTTTGTGACACAGGTCTGGCTGCCACCGGTGCGGCCCAGTAACCTTTTCAGTTTCATAGCCTCTGCAGCTATGCAAGCAGGCGTTGAGCCTTGTGTTGTGGCAAAGCCCCCGTTCAACAGATTGACAGAATATGCGCTGACACCTTGGCCTCGAGAGATTGTCAAGAAAGAGGGCGACATCCTGGCTGAGCTCCAGTTGTTGAAAGAGAAATTGGAAAAAGAAAAAGAAGCGGACCCCTTGGTGATCCCGCTCAAGCTGGAAAACGTCGATGATGCGGACACAGAACCTGAAGATCTTCACGCGCCCAAGATTGTGTCGGCAGCCGAAGCCAAATGGATGAGGGCCAAAAAAGCGAAGAATTTGAGAGAGAAAAAACGCAAAAGAAAGCGAGTGCAAGAGAAGAGAATTTCACGCAAGGAACAGCCAGGCACGATTTCTCAAAGCGCTGGCCGCTAACTGTTTACAAGTATACAGCTGTAGCGAAACACTGTGTGATGTGCATGCGCCGCTTGTGAAAAAGGTGCCGGTCTGAAAAAACACAAGACGAACGGGTCCTCGTTGGCTTCCAATCAGGAGGTGTGCCATGCCAAGAGTGGCTGCCAGTATTTCAATGTCTGGTGTGCCATTCATGGCTGGCTGCCTTCCAATTGGATTGCCAGAGAGGCAAATCAAAGTGGAAAGTCACCAACAACGTATGTGTGCGCACCAGTTTGATGTCTAGTCTGGTCTAATGAGTGCCGAGGCTGGGCCTTTCCAGACCGAAAGTGCTGAGGGTGAGCGTGGGAGTTCCAGACCAATTGTTGAAACCAAACAATCCGACGTGTAGGTTTCGTCAGTCTACTCGAAGTACTTTCACACCACCCAGTTTGAAAAATGTTTGCCACTGACTGTAAAACAAGCAGGTTCCGATGTCATTGGCGACCGTTGCGTGGCCGATCTTTGGTAGATTTGGTTTCACTGCCGCCTCTCAAAACGTGACCTTGGACCTTGCGACAAGAAAAGAGCACAGTTTCTCCAATGGGTTGGGGTTACATGAAGAGGCAAACGTTTCAACTTTTGCATGCTAACTCAGCTTTCTGTTTTTGGACGGACAAACGGAGTTTGATATAAATATCACACCCCTACACATGCTGCGCGCGCATCACAGTGCACGTGGTTTATAAGGAACCGCGGTGAGACCACGTTCGCTGAGAACATGACGTGCGGGAAGATATTACACTTCAAGGAGAGAAGTGGGGAGACCAGCCAGCAATGGCAAGTCATAGGCACCCGCCCACAATTTCCCAACCCCCGAGTCAAAACCAAACCCCGGTTCTCACGAAAAATCCTTGAATGTGCGGTCAAGCCCTGAGTTGTTGTTCAAAGTCCAGGGGTATGTTGAGCGTTGCACTCGTCAGTCCACAGTCCCTCGGGGTAGGATGATCTTGTACATGATTGCTCGACATTTCGATCTCGATCGTACTCGTGGTTCATTGCTCACATCGCAAAGCATCTTCCAGGTGGAACTCAATGGTTTTTCGTTGAAAGATCTCCAGGAGTTTAGCGGTACAGTCATGAAGACCTTGAACTCCATTGACCCTGCCGACTGGCCGAATCAGAGAATGTTAGGTGAATGGTTGTTCCATCGGTTGAGAAATGTTCGAAAGCTTGAAAGGACCATCGACGAGATCAAACGCTCCGCATACAGCTCGGAACTTCGTGATTTCGACTTCCTTTGGGGAAGATTGCAGGAGCACCTCGTCGAGGAGAGGGAAGATACCAATGCTAGGTCCATTGAGCTTTCGTTGAAGCCAAAGTCGTGGAAGAAAGATCCAAAGGAGAAGTCGAATCCTCTTGCAAACCCTGCCAAGGCTGCCACGGTTCCGCCACCACCTCCTAAGGAGACACCGGCGGCTCCAGCTGATCCTTCGTCTTCAAAGAGTGACCCTAAGGGTAAAGGTGGCAAAGGTGATAAAGGCAAGGGTGAGAAGGGAAAAGGTAAAGGCAAGGGTTTGAGCAAGGAAGACAAGGCAAAAACGCCTTGCGTGTTCTTCCAAATGCCTTCCGGGTGTGTGCGCGGCAGCTCATGCGCGTACTTGCACGAGAAGGTCAAGCCTGATGCCAAAGCCGAAGCAACGGCTAAGCCAAAGGCCCAGCCAAAGCCGAAAGCTAAG